ATGCATGTTAAAAAAGTTTGCTAAGTTGATTGAAATAGATAGCTAAGAGCTAAGATAGCTCACACAATTAGTTAAAAGTAATGGATAAATGCTTGAAATACATAGCTAAATGTAATAATTGTTGAAAAACATAATGGATAAATGATACATAGCTGAATGTAATGGATGAATAGCAGTAGCAGCACAAACCTAAACCAACTCAAACAGCAACAGTTCAATTGTATCAAGAAATGATGTTAACTACCACGATTATATCCACTTTTATGTTAATAACAGTTAAATAATCAGTTTAAAGTAGGATACAAATGGTCCAGATTCAAGTGATCCTGCTCTCTGACACTTATCTTCTAGATTACTGGTCTATTTGATTTGCAGTTTGCCCAACTGCTCTCTCTCTCTCTCTCTCTCTCTCTCTCTCACTTTGCCCACACACGCTGCTAAATGCTTACAGATTTATTTATCTCTTTGGCTCTGTGTCGATCATCCCATTGAGCTGTTACACAATACACAATTTTCAGGATTGCTTGAGCATGATAATTGTTCCTGCTGGATAGATATTGTTGTCATGCAACCGAGGCTCTTTGTTTCCCCTAGACTGGACCCTAGTAATCCCTCTATGTGGTGCTCTGCTCCGGCAAAGTCACATCGAGCCAATCACTGCAGAACAATGATGCCTTCACAGAGACATCAAACGGGCAAGATACTGAAGCTGGAACACACAGAAATCAATTAATGTCTCTCATTGAACACCGCAGGAGAAAACATTAGTTGATGCTAAGGAAGACGTGTCCTTCACATGTTTGTATTCACACACTAATCCCTGTGTGTACCTTTGCGTCCCTGTGATAACTTAAACCCCCAAATAGTCGACAAGCTTAAACACATAGATGAATCAGATCCTTTTATGTGTGTTGCATACAGTCAGTCACAAATACAAAGGCTTAAAGAAAGCCCTGATATGGATTTCCTTCTGTAAAATAATGTCCACACAATGCGTCTCACCGTCCTTTGAGATTATATTTTTAATTATTTCTTCTTTTTCAGAGCAGTGAAAAGATTGACATTGTTGATAAAATGCCTCAATTCAGTCTGCAAGTCTTGAATGATATAACCTTCACATGTCTAGAGCATTCTTAAATGGTTTTCTGATGGAGAATATTGCCCACAATAATAATCCCCTTTGCTAACAACATTGTCATTAGCAATGCATTGCCTTAATGCTTCCGCTGTCCTACTGTGAGTCACTGGGGCTACACTGTAATATTTCCCCCTTAATGAACATTAAAATGGGTGTTCATGTTGTTAAATCCTGCTGAGGGATGTGCATAGCGTGTGGTGTGTTTGCAGGTATCCACTCGCTTGTGTGCACTGTGTGTGTGTGTGTGTGTGCATATGATAATGTCTTTTTCTGTATTTTCATGTGTGTCCCATGTACCCTTGCTATGTTGACAGGCCTCTGGCCCTTCAAATCAACTTGATTGAGTTTATGGACCAACAAGCATTGTATCCCACCATGTCAGGAAGCCTTGTGATGGAATTGAATCACCATTTTGACACCTGCAGGAAAAGCACTAAGTCCCCCGGGTGCAGTGATTACTTTGCAGGGACATTACATGTAATGACCTCTATAGCTGAACGTCTGCCAAAGCTTGTTCATCATGCAGACAGATCTCCATAGACAGCCTAGACACCGCTGTGTGAAAGTCTTGTAACTTGCGTGATGTGTCATATAACTGTCATTCCAAACCCAATGAAATATTTCACGCTGTCTGTAATTTAGATTTTTCCCATTAACTCTGGAAAATGTTTAAGGTTCCATTAGTTGCTCATAAAATAAAGTGAAATAGACATCACTCATTGTTATTTAGTTGTTAATATGTTTTTAAATATATACTTAGGTGATATTGAGATAATGACAATGCCCATGTAAGGATAGACAAGTGACATAAAGTGGCCTTAGCAAGTTTCCCTTCAATGTATCATCCTTTGTCTTGCACTAAAACAGCCCATTCACAAAGAATACAGTTTTGAGTGAGTTTCGCACTGCTACTACTGCTACTGTACTGTGTATAATTGATGCATCCTATATTGATCTTGGTAATATTCCTTGAAACATTGCTTCCTCTTTTCTGGATGGAAAATATATACACTGTGATAGACAGCATCCAATTATTATTTCTGTAGTCAAAGCACTCTTGATGTCTCTGTGGGAGATACCAGAGGAGGGGTCAGGTGATATGAGGATGAGCAGGTGGGATGTCACTGGTTGACACTGGTGACAGATGGCTCAGTTTGGCAGATGCATATCACGTATGCCATACTGTATGGCGTGTCTAATTACAGCACCTACTGCGTCTGGATAATCAACCAATTTTACAGATTGTCTTTTGAATTCTTTGCAAAACCATAATGTTTAATTGTAGACTGCATTTCCATGTCTTTTTTTTGGCAAAAATGCAGCATTTACACATAATAACATACTTTACACAATCACCAGAAAATTACTAGGTGTGAGAGGGCAATATGGTGGCAGAAATCTAAACTGTGACCACTTTACCTACTGAGGCATTAAGTCCCTCAATCTGGCATCTCCCCCCTCTTTCCCCACTGTGTAGTAGCCTTTACAGTGTGATTTCAGTCAAATATGGAAATATGTTCACAATGGTGGTGGATCTATTATGATCAATGGGTCCCTTCACCTCCTTAATCTCTGCTTCCTTAGAGTAATCATGTTTCAGCACACAATGCTAAGCTGACCTACATACTGAAGAGACGGGGGTGTTTCCAGAAAAAAAACATTTGGATTTTGGTGTGTATGCTAAAAACATCAATCTTCTTTGTTTCAGAGCTGGAGTATCTGCAGCATTTTTTGCAAAACGTGAAATTCTGCTTCTAAAGTGGTTCTTTAATTGTATAATGATGCCAAATAGCAGCAAGTGCCAATACATAAAGAGAGTGAGGTTGCTTATTTCTTGACCCCTGTCCTCTAATATCATGATTGAGGCTTCTCACTATGGGGAATGCTGTCCTCAGAAGCCTCTATATCATTTCTCCAGCCAACACTGGTTGGGAGTCATGAGGCTTGTCTTAAAGCAAAGCCACGCACATTACTATGAAAAGGATTAGGTAAAGGATACAGTGCCACTCATCATTCAAGAAGAGGCCCCACTCTCTTTACTTCATGCAAATAAAGCTGTTTTGGTGAGACAGACAGGGTCACCGGATACAAAACCAAAAATTGTCTTTTAAAATTTGTTGTAGTGCTAAACTGTGGAGTTACACTGACTACCGTATTTTGCCAAATTAAGAGATCCAGCTTTCAGTGAGAGGCTAACAACATGACGCTTATTGCGAAAACCTCTATAGTTATAAGAGTGCATGCAACTTCAGTGAGTAAGCTGGCCTCCAATAGAGATTATTTAATGTAAAATAGTCACAGGACACAGAAGTCCATACCTGAGATTGGAGTTTTTTGGGGGTTGGGCAGATGGTGAGTTATGTAGGTATACCCAAACCCTGTGGTTTCAACTGTTAGTGGTAATGCTCTCTCATTAGGTAGATAAATAGCAATGTGTTACTTTTAGTAATTGTTAACATATATTTGCATATACATATATTTATTTTTCTGACATATGAGTCAGATCTATTTTTTTTCCCGAGTTCTGTGAATCAGTACCTGTAGTCAGTAACCAGCAGCTCCAACCAGGGCTGAAGTTTCAGTCTGGAATTTCAGGATTGTTAAGTATTTTTGACCAGAACTTAGTCTGACTGACAATGTAAGCTTTACATTTGAATGTTTTGTAAATTAGCTTAAGGATTTGCCCTAGTGTCAGTATCTTTGCCAGTTCAACCTGTAACTTAAGATCTAGGAGAAAGCTCTATGAAAAATGCACAGTAATAGTGTATGTTTATTCTTTAATGAGTTATTTTCCTCTTGAACTTGAATTATTTACAATAACAGACTTAACTCAACTGCATTTTTAAATGGGTCACTGCTGTGAAATGGTGAATAAAAAAAACAATCCGAAAGAAATGGCATGCAGCACATATCGCTGAATGAATGCAGTATGTTTGGTCTCTGTCTGAAAACAGAACTTTAAATCCATTTCCACCCACCCTTTAAAACAATGTTGTTGTTTTTTTTAAAAAAAGGGGTTAAAGTGCTTTTTCCTGTATGATTTTCAAATTGAAAAAATGTGATTTGCAGACAAGATTGGTCAGTAGAAAGTCAAGGAAGGCAATTTAGTAGTTTTGTCTTATCTTTAGTCTGTTTTAATTTGAATTGTAAAAATCTACTTAACAACCCAATTACAAATTGACCTTCTCTTCACATTGTTAAGAGAAAAGAAAAAAAATAAGAAGCTATTGTACATAATCTTTTTTAATAAAACCTTGCATTAAGTCATAGTAAAATTAAAAACAGCACAAGCCTGGTCACCAAACAAAATGATAGAGCTAAATACCAAAAGACTCAATCTTGCTTTTGACTCTGAAATACATCTTTCTTTGTTATTGTTTTCAATTACATGTATGTAAGTATTAAGTCTACAGCTGCAATGATCACCCAATTAATTGATCAGTTCTCAGACTTTTTAGCCAATCAAATGTGAATATTTTCTGGTTTCTTTAGTCCTCTATCACAGTAAACTAAATATCTTTGGGTTGTGGAAAAAACAAGATATTTGGGGATGACACCTTGAGCTTTGGGAAACAGTGATAAACACAATTTTCTGAAATTTTATGGACTGAACTAAATTCGCGGAGTACTCTTTTAATATTCAAGGAACCTTTTACCAGTAGAAGTATTGATTTTTCTTTGTCACTGCATATTTATATATCTGCTCCAGCCTTATGTTGTTCAGGATTAACAAGGATTATGTCTTTAAAAGGGAAACATATTTCTTAAGTAATTCTGTCCACCTGTCTGTGTCTGTCAGGTTTATCTCCACAGAAACCAAGTGTTCTTTTGTATAACCTGTCCTTTGTTCTGTGTGTTGCAGGTTGCCCGTGTGGGTGGCCAAGAGGATGGAGGCCATGAGGGCTGTGTACCTGGCTTCCAGGTCAAACACTACCAAGTGGTGTACAGTGGACCTTTCCAGAAAGGTCAGGCGCTTCTACAAGGTCAGTAAAAATGAACGGAACAAAGTTTGAATTTAAAATCAAACTTTTTTTGCTTTGCTATGAAATTTGCTCTGTTTCTCCCAATCTCTCTTTCTCTCCGTCTCCGGCTTCAAAATTCTGGTGTTCAGCAACACAAGTCTGCATGTGGGAATGCGGACACATAGCACACACACACACACA